TTGAATGGTTGCCGTAGGTATTTTTTCCAATTGCTAGACTCCTTGAATCACTCATATATGATATACACACAGTTTTTGCAGGAATGATTGAATAATGAATCTACTTTATTCAGTATAATTGTTACAGATGATAAATTTTACTAGGTAATTGTTCTCTACTAATAATTCTCTCTAAATGTACTGCTTTAATACACAAAGTGTTTTACACAAACTACATTTTATTATAGCTAATTTCCACAGATTATTCATCTATTTTCCACACCGGGTATTATTATTATTTGTCCCTTGAGCTCCTAGTGAAACATAGGAATTCCGTAACACATCGCCATTTCACTCTCTTTCTGCAATCTTCAAAACCTGGCTCCACCACTGCCCACAACCTCTCATTTATTCCTCACATCATCTCCTCCACGTCACCCTCACCTCAGACGACCAACTCGTCTTTTCCCATCTGCCTTCCTCCAGAGTGCTTGATGCGTGATATCCCCCAATGGTCTTCTCAGTGCATGCATAATGCTGTCCAACTCCACCTTCCTCGGCATATTTGTTATGTGATAGCTTATCGGTTGATTCATTCCCAGAGTCACTTCCTCGTTGCTCATTCTTATTATTCTGGCCACCTCACTGATCTTCAGTATCAAGCCAGTGTAGACGACAGCTGTTGATCAATGTCTATAGTCTGTTGCAAATGCTTTTCATAACGCACCACCAACTCTCTTCACCATCACATGAAAGCACTGACTTGACTGAATTGGTGTTGAGAATACGGATATCATTCACTATTTATGCTGAGTTGAGTGAGGTAGATCTCCACACTGACTTCAGGTTACTAAACACCTGTCTTGCTGTGTTTTCGATCCTGGCTTCGACATCCTCATCTGCGCCGCCACAATCTCTAGTTGAAACGATGTTCCCCTGCCTAGATAGGTGGAAGAGACTACTTCATTCAGGTTTCTCCCGTTCATCGTGATTCGTGTCTCTTCTTCTTCTTCTTGTTGGTGTTGTTGTTGTTGGTGGTGGTTATGGTGATGGTGTTGGTGTTGGTTGGATATCTTCATCACCTCTGTCTTCTCTACGTTCACCTGAAGAAAGTCCCGTCTTCCTTCACTGCCTCACCTGTTCTGTCAGCCTGTTAGCTTTCGCCTGTACATCTTCTACTTTGTGTGAAAAGACATCAGACATGAATCATGATCGGCGATGAAATCCAAATGTTTCTCTGGTGTATTTTCATCGGTGTAGCCAGCGAATGACCCTCTTCTCTCTCCTCACTGTTTTCTGCATGATTTAGTTGACGAGAATCCTGAAAATCATGGTTGTTAGTAGGCGGCAGCCTTGTCTTACTTCTGTCTTCACTTCAAAGGTATCACTGTTGCATCAGTTACCTTTTAGATTTATCGGTGAATATTTCCGTATGTTTTATTTCTTTTTCAATTCTGTCCTCCACATTGCTCTCTGATATGAAAGGTGAATCATACATTTCAGAACTTTAAATACTGGCTATTAACTTGGTAGAATAATTCTTATCTTATAGGGTTTGTCTTGTTCAATGGATGGCATCCGTTTCGCTTGGGGTAGGCAGACCATTTTGTCCTGTTATTGTAAGATGCTGACAAAGTTCATAGTCTTTTAACAGCCCTGATTAGAATTCTAATTGTGACTTGAATGCATTTCACACCTGATGATGCTCTAGGATTCGTCTACACTTATTCCTAGGCCCAGGACAGTTAGAGAAGTCGTTCAGTGCGTTGAACACTTCACTTAACTGAAGATTTACAACATCCGGAATAAACCGGTTGCTAACAAAATCTCACCTCGGATACAGAAGGCCTGTCTGTCATCTGCTAACTGGTATTACTTCTGACTCTGGTAAGATATCCGAATACAAAGCACCAATGTTGTGCACAGCAGTTCAATCTGTTCTATTATGTGTCAATGAGAAGGGAAGGTTGGTTTTTGGCGAAATTACCCTTTTAGTACGGTCAGTTTTAAGCGTAAGATATTATACAAGGAAAGTAAGCCAGTGCATAGGTTTGTGAATAGTTGAATAACACGGTTTGAACATGTGTCGTACATGTAAAGACAATACTTACCTAGAGGTGCAATATTAGCTGAAGCAGGACTGGGTTATCAAAAGGTAAATGCTCAGTGTTTGTATGATGGCCTGAAACGTGAATGGAAGTGTAGTCTTGCTGATTTCCACTCAAATGGTTAAAATTCCCTTAACTGAATGGCCATACTGTATAAGAACTTATACTCCTGAAGCTGAAAATTAAAAAAATCTTTATATACTAAATAGATGGCATCTTGTGACAGTTTTTATCAATGACTGTAAACTTTTAGCTCTCATCTATACAATATTTCTTTTCACTTCTGAACAGTAGCTGTTACAGAATTATACACTAAGAACTGTGATTGTTGGCAGTCAGTTGGCAGGGATCCCTGTACACTTCAGATTTTTTGCTTATTGGTACTCATCAATAAGTTGTGTCTGCAACCATCAGGAAACTGATACTCCCTCTGTCCTTCAAATCTACATCACTCAGTTTTGAACTTAAAGATATCACCACTGAGCTATTCAAATCACAATCAATCTCCTTTAGGGCTAGAATGTATACACATAAAAGCATGTTATGTCATCACCATGAACTACTGAATGAATCATTTCAATGACTACCCATTTGGTAGAATGTATGATTCCGTTCGTAATTGTAGATCATTTTTAATTCATATATGAAATATTTAACTAATGAGTTACTCATCAAACGGCGTCAGTACTTCAAATTCGAATTTAGATGAAATTGAGCTAAAAAAAAACAACGACTGAAGGTCCAGTCATAATTACTATAAGGATCACTGTAATAGACTTACACTTTCAAGTAGGTCAAAATGACTTAAAGATTGCCTGGAAGATTTTTAGTGAAAGCTTCATCATTGAACCTGATTCTTGGAAATGCCTAAACATTATTTTGCAATATTTAGTCCATTTTATCTTAATTATTATTATTAGTTGTAGTACAATAAAAACACGGCACAATAAGGGCACCAAGAAATGCGCCACACAATAAATAGTTAAATGTAAAGACATAAAGGATGGGAAGTGGATGGATAGAGAAAGGAAAAATAATAGAAATGGAATGATTAAAATAGCAATGCAGTAAGATACATTGAAAGCAAAATATTCATTACTTTTCAATAACAGAAAATAAGAGGAAGCCACAGGATGACCGTTATTGATTTCGATTCTGAGCCATATGGGATAACTGCTCAAGCCATCAAGTTGCCTGGTCTCTCGAACCCCACCCAGGTAATTGTGATCAACTAACAGATGCTAACCCGATACAACTATTCTTCATCCCACGGTGCCACATCATTCACTGATCATCCACACCTCGCTTCTTCCATCCAGTCCCTAAGGCTGGCAAACAGTGAACGGTATGGAGGCCGTTGGGACGACATGCGTAACACATATCCAAGCCACAGAGGTTGGTGTTTCCATAATGATCCCAGTCATGCCCAAACACACGCTATCGTACCTCAGAATTACTTACTTGGTGTTGTTAGCGGATACGAATTGTCCTACGGAGACAACGATCATCAAACACGCAGGGTCGTCTCACGTCTTCAGCCTGGAGAGGCCAGGTTTCACAGGGGTAGAGCAGAACTCGTACCGAAGCGTCATGACGGCGCCAGGGTGGTCCAGACTGGCGCATGCCACTCTGGCTTTCTATATGCAGTTGGATGGTTCACCACTCACATAACCACCCAGATACACTAATTTTTCGACTACTTCCTATGGCTCATCACCAAGAATGAGTGTACGCAAAGGCTCCTCCGAATCTTGCAAAAGTACTTTGCACTTCGATAATGCAAAGCATACTATACTTAAGGACATAATTAGTCGCTGTCCAGTGACCAATAACTTTGCCTAGTCTATTAGTACAAAAAATTGGTCGGGATAGTTCAGTCGTAACGTCTGTAACTACAGCACTGGATGAAGTGGGTTCTCATCTCTTACGGGGCACATATAATCTTTTGAGGTTATGATAAGTCTTGCTGATGAGGGCAAGTAAGTATGAAACCCAGATAAAACAGGTCTTCTAGCCTGTACTTATCTATTGAGGTTGACTCTTCATCCTACATGCATTCAAGCTTTTGCGAACACCAAAAGAGCTATCCTTTTACCCCCGTTTAACTGTGCTTGTGTTCGACTCTGTCTAATGCCTTACGCTGACCTCCTCACCATGCTATGAGACAGCAAATTCATGTAGATTCCCGCTCAGATTCACTCTAGGCCTTTTATGATTCGGTTGTTTGTTTCGACTTATAATTTCCAGTTTCTTTACTGAATTGAAGTGTCCTATCTCTGTTGGTAGATAGGCTCCTATTCAGATGCTTCAATAGTGTTGTGGCTTTGCTTGGTGACGAGAAGTTGAACCCAGGATGAACGTTTGTTCCTATTTTGGACCCATCAGTAAGATGTATCGATTGGAACGCTAAAGCGTTATCCTTGCATGAATTTAACTCCGTCCATCGTGGAATTTTGTTGACCATTACTTATCTGTTAGATTTGTATTCAGTTATAATGAGGTGAATGATCTGGCATCTCTATGCACAGTATTCCATAATGTATGATTGGACTTCATGAGCATATAGCCAATCGTTTTCGCTTTGCACTTGTAGATACGCAGAAGCTAAGTATAGCTGAAAGTAAACAGGAGAAGATAATTATTCAGAAATAGCTGCAGTACCAAGAGGTCTACAACAGCGCCTCCTTTTCTAATCCTGATTGGTTCAGAAGTTGTTTAGAAAGATCAGTAGCTTCAATAACTCTTAAGGAAAATAAAATTGATGGTTGAAGTTTCATGTCAACTGCTTATAATAACCTAGAAGCCAACTAGTAGTGAAACGAATTTGATAATTACTCCATAAGCTACACCTCATATTCATTTTTTTTCTGGTTTTTCCTGTTTTTTTCCGGGAATTTAACTCACTGACAACAGACGAGATGCTATGAATAATCAACATCAACAGAGAACAATAAAAAATGTTGGTTATCGTTTGGGTAAACGGAAACGTCTCTTTGAGAAACGATGTCGTATTTCAGATTTTTCATTAAGTTTCGCTGTATTCGGTATAATGGTTATGCTGATTGAAACAGAACTTACATTTGCTGGAGTCTATGAAAAGGTAAGTCGGTTAATTGGTTCCTTGATTGATTTAATGTAACTTACTATGATTTCTTTATCTTATTTCACAAGCAGTTTCATTGTGTTCATGAAGTTTTAAAATAGAAATATTGAACATTTTACATGAATGTAGACAGCGTTTAATCTAACATAAATATGGATTCAGTTTGGGGATTTATTGATTTCAAGTTGGTATTCATCACAAACCTCCAGTCTGAATCAATCTAATGCTCATTGGTGACTAGTTCAAGAGGTGAGTCATGAAGTTCCAATGAGAAGTGATGATCAGTGGGGTAAACTTGATAGCCATCAGGACAAATACTCAACGGTGATATCAGGTGATGGTCGCGCTATATCATGAACTGAGAAAAGTTGGAGATATGGACCACTGGATTTCGATGCAGTCGAGAATCATTATTTTAATGCACTGAGATAGATGTTAGTTGGATGAAGAGAGTCGGAAGGAAGTCCTGGACCTAGGTTTTGCGCTTGACGGAACCGATGTCCTGTCTGAAGATCGATCCCCCGTCACAGATGTAACCTCTGCGCTATTAGGTTCCGATATAACTGACAAACAGAATTAACTATCCACGAAATCAGTGTGTTTTGATGTTCGTTTAAAACACATCAGTCTGTTCTAGTCTGTACAACTTGTGTGTTGCGAAATCATTTGATGGGTTAAATCGGCTATATCATTTGTCTATCTTAGCGCAGTTTGAAAATGTATACCTTACTACAAATATGTGTCAGATGATTGGTTGGAAACCTTTTTAGTCAGTGAAATGTCTGAAAGTGATCCGCATGGCAATATATAAATCTCCTCCTCACTTATGACATATTCCTTTAGGCGGTGACGAGGTTAACGTGAAATTTATCATCTTAGGTTAACAAGAGCATCAGTTGACTGTCCCTCTTTAAGAATGAACTTTGTGCCCTGCATCACGATTGCCCAGTTGATCTATCAATCACATTACAATAATGCTATGGAAGCCTAGTTATCTCAACTTCATCGACTTTGAAAAGACCTTCAAAAGCGTCGACCAAGAAGTAATTTTGCAGCTGCTTCAACACTACGGTTTTAGTACTGCAAACGTTTATCAACCTCATTCAACAGCTATATGCTATGCCATATGATGCTACATGCCATGTGGTTCACAATAGAAAGCTCATTGGTGACTTTGAAGTGGAAGTGGAGACAGGAGTAAGACAAGGTTACCGCCTACTATCACCGATCATCTTCCTGACTGTGGTCGACTGGACTTGACTGGATCATACAACCGACAACTGTGAGGAGCGAGAACATGGGTATACGCTGCTTGAGAAAGCTGATGAAAAGGCCTCAGATGAACATTTGGATTTCGCCGACGATGATGACTTATGTCTAATAACAAGTAGCACAAACTCGAAAATGTACAGGCAAAAACTAAAAAGTTGTCAGGAGAGGAGAGGCGAGGTGAGGCAGCAAAGGAAGACTGGTCTTTCTTCAGCTGAACGTAGAGAAGACAGAGGTGATGAAGATACCTAAACAACAACAAGCACCAATTACGATGAACGGGAAAAACCTAAATGAAGTAGTCTCTTTCATTTACCTAGGCAGCATCGTTTCAACTAAAGGTGGCGGTGGCATAGCTGAGGATGTCAAAGCCAGGATTGGAACAACACTAAGACGGGCCTTTATTATTCTCAAATCAATGTGGAGATCTACTCCACTCCACTGAGCATAAAGCGTGAACAAGATCCGGATTTTCAACACTAGTTCAGTCAAATGAGTCAGTGCTTTCATGTGATGGTTGAGAGACTTGGCAGTGCGTTACGAAATGTATTTTCAATAAACTACAGACATATATGAACAGTTGCCGTCTACGCTCATTCGATACTGAAGATCACAGAGATGGCCAGAATAATAAGAATAAGCAACAAGGAACTCACTGTGTCTGGCAGAGAACTAACCAACAACCTATCACCCAACAAATATGCGGAAGAAAGTGGAGATGGGTTGGGCATTCAATGAGAAGACCATTTGAGGACATTATGCATCAGGCCAAGCCAGGCCATTGATTGAAACCCAAATGGGAAACGATGAGTTCAGCACCCGAGAGTGACATGGAGGAGATTGTGTGAGGAATAAACGAAAGCTTGTGGGGCAGTCATGGAGTGAAATGGAGAGGTGCTGCTGAAGCTCCGCTAGAAACCCAAAGAACAAAATACTTAATGTAAAATAATAATATGGAAGCATAGTAGATCCACACCTAGTCACTGTTTCACAGCTATAAATCGGAACTGGATTCATCATTAATTTTGCTAACAAGTGTATGAAGTGAAGTAATCTGACAGAATGAAACCTAAGCATTTGTTTACTTTTTGGAGTTAGTTTTTACAACCGTCTGGGATCTTCATGAGAAGCATAAACCTTAGACTATTCGACTTCGTTCTACTTTCATAAGAATATTCATAATGAAACCCTAAGTGACAGTTTGTCAGTTTGGCACATAGTTCGCTGTGATGCCCTAATGTTTACAATCCAATTAGAAGTGACCGCCATATCATAGGTGACTTATTCAGTACGCTACCTATCTGATATAATTAAACTTTATATTGACTGTTCACTGGAATAATTAGACAATTTCCTCCTTTCCAGCCCTAAGAGGTGACCTAATACTTTTGTTCATTTTGTAATATGTTCATTAGGCTAGAAGATTCACGATGATCGATCATTTTGACACTAGATGATTAAAACCATCAGTAGACAGCCCTGTTTGACTCTTATGTCGAGTTTTTTTCGGCAGCTTCTAAGGAATTCATGCTACCTTGAAGATTAGAACTTGTATAGTCGTTAACTGTGACACTCATTGATATGGGGTTCAAATCTCTAAGGGATATAAGATCCATAGAGAAGAGACAATTCAGGGAAGAGAATTTTCTTTTTCGACGATATCATTTTCTAAAGCTGTACAACCGTATTCATGTATGTATCATAAACATATAACAGTCTATTATCAAACAATAAGGTATAATTACATCATTAACCTAGTGCTAAATAACCGGAATCAAGAATGCAAAGTTGTTGAGTAATAAACTAAGACAGTAGAAATATCGAGGAAGGCAAGGAGTTTGACAAGGTGAAAATTGTTGGTAGATAAGAAACGCAAATATTGAGTGTCCACTTGATTGATTGATAAATGGATGTAAAGAAGGTGAAGAATGAAACAAGGGTCAAAATGAAGGTGATAATAATAAACTAATTAAGTATAATGAAGTCGATAAAGAGTTGTGAAAGTGTTAAGACCATGGTAAGATGAAAGACTGAACATACTTCTTTTGCATGCAGAGATCAGGCTTGAATTGATGAATTACTAGTGCCTCCGCTGTGCACAACTGTCGAAGGTGGACTCCTTTTGAATTATTCCATCTGACACGATAAATGACATTGAAGGAGGATTCTGGTCTAGCTTTATGTCCAGAGTTGACTACATGTTCAAGAATTGAACTGTTAATTGATTTATATTCTCCCCTCAACAACCATGCAGGATAGTGCTCCGAGATATGTTTGGAAAGCGTGAGCTTTGTGCGGCCTATATAACTAGTTCCACGGGAGCAAGTAAACTTGTAGACGCACATCGAGGTGACCCAAAGTGGCAACTTCTCCTTAACGCATTCCGGAATGAATTGTTGACTAGAGAAGCTGATCTGTAGTTTCGCAGAGAAGAATGTCTTCTTCAGTGATCTGGACTGCCGATTCTTCAGGATCTCTGCTGCCGTATCGCCTTTAAAAAAAAAACATTCATAAACAAGGTCTTCTTAGGAAATATGAGTACTCGCTCCGTATTCTGATTTACTTTCAAGTTCTTATCGATAAATCTGGATGGATATCCATTTTGCATGAAGATCTTTCCTAGTTTATCTAATTCTTCATCGATAGTATCACTCGTGCAGATTCTTTTGATCCTTAAAGGTAAAGAATGGATTAGATTCCTCTTTCTGCTGAGAGGCATCCAGCTGTGGAAATTCAGTTGTTGTCCGTTCCAAGTAGGCTTCCTATAAAATGATCGTTTCAATGAGACATCGAGAAAATAGAATTCCGAGTTCTCTTCAAATTCTGATGTAAAGTTGATCGATGGGTGACAATCATTGAACTATTTAACTACAGTCCCAATATCTGTATTTTGATGAATTATGATGAATGTGTCATCCATATATCCTTTATATAGGCAGAAACTGTCAATTGTTGAATGCAGCAAACTATTCTCTAGCTTCGCTACAAAGCAATCAATCAGCAATGGTCCAAGTGGTGACGCCATAGCAACCCCATCCTTTTGTCTATATAGATGATTGTTGAATTTGAACTGCACATTGAAAGTGCATCTAAGAAGCAATTCCTCTAAATAGTGCTTTGAGATACCCACTTGAAAATTATTATCTTCAATGAACTCACATAGAAAGCAGATAGTTTCTATGAGTGGGACATTGGTAAAGATATTAGTTCCCTCAAGTGATCACATACGCTTTGATGGTTACTGCTGACAATCATCATAATGTAGGTCTAGTAGGACTTCCTGTTGATTATCTCTAAGCATCTCACATCAAAACAGGCTTTATCGCCTTCATTTAAACACCTGCATAGTCAGTGGACTATGCAGATTTTATTGGCAAATAAAGGGGAGAATTGAAACTTCATGATGACGCTATTTTACACCAATACAAGGACTATAGAAAAATTAGACCTAAACCATCTGCATACTGTGACACCTAATTATCAAATAAAATAATGACAGAAATCAAGCTGAGAGTCGTGAACATTCTAGTACAGATTTCACCAATCTACCCACGGCAAGAAGTTCTTGCGAAGGTTTGGATTAACTGGAAAACTCTAATCACTAATAAGGTCCCAGAAGGATTCCTGGGTGCACACCACTGAAGAAACTTAAGTTAGGACTTCGATATTAGATTTTTTTATTTGATTTATAACATATAGCGGAGCAAATTATTTACCTGAAGACGTTT